TGCCACAGATATAATCTTTCCATTGAAAAATATGCAAAGGCCACAAACAAGCAACTCTTAAAAGAAGAACTATAAATAAATGTGTAAAGATGTTTAACTTCACCCATGATGAACACATACACATTTAACAAGATACCATTTTCCCCTATCAGACTAGCATAGATGAAAAGATTCTCGATAATGTTCAAGGTTTTCAAAGGAGAAACACACACACACACACACACACACACACACACACAGGCTCACACAGAAAGTAAAGGAAAACCATCTTTCTGGAGGGCAAATTGACAACGTGTAAGAAAATCACAAATACGTATGTATCTTCGACACAGAAAGTACACTTCCAGGATTTATCCTAAGAAAATAATCAACCAAGCTTAGACTACAAGGATGTATTTATTACAAGTATCTACAAGGATGTTCAGATAGTATTACTTATAATTAAAAAACAGAAATAATTTATATGTGTATTAAGACTAGCTAATAAATTTCTACATACAGACATTAAAAATGATCTATATTTAAGCTGAAACATAGAAGTTCATGCTGTATTAAGTGATAAAAGCAAGTTTACAGCACAGTTTGATTGCATTTCTAAAATATGTCCTGATCCATATTTGTTATTCTGGAAAATTAAATTAATTAAACAAAATTAGTGATTATCTTTGGAGATACTTTTAATAAAAATTTAAAAAAATTTTTGGGCAACAGCATGTTTTCTTTTTAAAAGCATTCCTTTAAAGGCTATGTTTATTGCTATTTTTCCCCTGGTTACAAAATACATGTATTCATTAAAATAAACGAAGAACAAAAAGGAAGGAAAAAAGGAATCATCTCAGAAATATATAAACAGAAGTAAAAGACCAAAGGCTATAATAATCAGCTTCTCCTGTTTAGCCTTAGGGCACAGGCTGTGCTTAACACCCCACCCCTCTAGAAACTCTTGTCTTGACTTTTCGACTTCTCTACTCTTGAGGCTCTTCCTCTTCCAGCATCCCTTAAATGCATGCTCTTTCTCTCCTCACTCACACAAGGTCCACAAGCATCATATCATCACTGATGATTGCATGCTCATTAACACCAACATGGTAATGATTTCTTAATCCCAGCTGAAGTCTAATTTTTCTAAGTCTCAGAGTCACATTTCTGCGTATGTGCTACACAATCCTCAAAGTCAATATATTCTCAAAGTCTAACTTACTTGCCTTCCCCATCGCCTACTCTAATCCCATGTTTCCTAGCTCTATTAAAGGTTTCCTCATTCACTTGGTCTTCCCACACTGGCAAAATAACTGGTAACCAAATCCTGCCTAAGGTCTCCTTCTGAAATTTCTCCCTAATTCATCCCTTCCTCTGCATCTCACTGCCATTTTCAGAGCTAAGGCAGGCCTGGCCACTTCTGACCTGGACTACTTAGGGTACCCATTATATGCCATACACAGCAAAAGGAATTAAGAATACGAATAAATATGAGAATATTAATAAAGCAAATTACTACCATCAAGCATATCTTGAGGTAGAGAGATGGAGGAACATGACACAATGTGACAAGTACAATTAGAACAAAAATCCACACGATGTCAACCTCTTTACTATCTGATCTAATCTTATACTGGGAATTATCTTTCTAGAATACAAACCAGATAATGTCACTCTTCTGTTGTAAAACCCTTGATGATTCTACTCCACTGCCTACAGGATAAAGTCCAAATGCTTTAATACCAAGCAAACACTTCACAGTCTGCTCCCAAGGTATCTAATAGCCTCATCTATTACTCTTCTTTCACTTCACACCCCATAACCCAGCCGTGTATAACTAGTTGCTGCTCTGACGATATGCTAAACAATTTTACAACACATAGTGTTTGTGCATCCTGCTGTTGGACAGTCCTTCTTCCTTGTGCTCGCCAGTGAAGTCCTGTACTACCCTCGATCAAACCACGCTCCTCTGTGAAACATTCATTAACCTTCTCTGCCAGTGTAGTTTTTATACACTCTATTACAATACTTATCACTTTATGTTGTAATTTGTTTTTCTTTTTCTGTCATTAGACTGTGAGATTTTTTTTAAACTGTAATTGATTTATAATATTGTGTTTGTTTCAGGTATACAGCGAACTGATTCAGTTATACATACACATATATATTTTTCAGATTCTTTTCCTTTATAGGTTACTACAAGATATTGACTACAGTTCCCTGTACTATACAGTAGGTCCTTGTTGGTTATCTATTTTATACATAGTGGTGTGTATCTGTCAACCCCATACTCCTTATTTATCTTCCCACCACCTGATACTGTGAGATTCTTGAGTACATCTTGTAATTCTTTGTATCCTTCCCAAGTCTAGCAAGACAGTAAATATTCAAGAAGTGTTTGTTAAATGGATGATGAGGTGGAAATAGATTTACATAGAGCCAAAATACACTAATCATCCCTTTTTTTTTTGGCTCTCTGTCTGGAATTCAGGAGTCTATTGAAGCAGTAATGCCACTACCTACCATGACCCCCACATACCAGGAACCCAAAGGAGCCCATGTATTTTTTTTCTCCCCCCTTCCTACTCATCTGGCTATCTATCCATCCAGCCCACAAATAACATCAGCAAATAATACAGATAGAATCCCTGCCCTCCAACGGGCTTATACTGGAGTAAGGAGAGACAATTAACAGGTAAACAAATACATAAAATAATGTCAGACAGTGATCAATGCGATGAATAAAACAAAGCAGTTTGATGAGACAGAATGTGGTTAGGGGAGTAATGTGCTATTTTAAATGGAGGTGGGAAAGAAGTCACAGAAGGTTTCTCTGAGACAGTAACATGAAAGTTGAGGCCCAAGGGATGAAAAGCAACCAGCGAAGCAAAAGTTTGAAGAAAGAATCCTTCAAGCAGAAGGAATTGTAGGTGTAAAAGCTCTGAGGCACAAATGCACTTGGCTATTTGAGGGACAGAAGAGACAGGTAGCTAGAGAAAGAAATGAGTTTGGAGAAGAAAGCACAGCGTTGTAATGGCAGCCTGGGTGGAGGCCTATCTGCTCCTGCCTTGAGTTTGGAATTTTCCAGTTTTCACCTCCTGTTGCCTGCACAATCTTCTACTTCCTAATACCATAGCAAGAGGACAATGGAATGGGGTATACAGCACACCCTATTGTCAGGAGACATCAAATGATTCTGAAAGTTACTTTTCTGGTTTCTGTTGATAAAAAGTACTCCTAGATACAATGCCCTAACAATAACGGTCCCAGGGCTAATGAAAACCTCATGAGCACACAAGAATAAAACCACTTGAAAAGAGAGACAAGTTCTTTCTACTGACTACAATGCAAGTCAAAATGGGACCCATCATAATCACCCTAGATTCGTCAGAGGAAATAAAACACAACACTTTACCACTCTGAAAATATACATGAGCTATCCTTCTACCTGAATAGATTTTTCCATTCCTGTGTAAACATAAAGATCATATAATATAAATCTAGACTTAAGTAATTAAATAAAATACATTTGCAGTTTTCATGGACCAGGATTTTTCTTCATCTTTATAGAAATTAAACAATTTTATGATGTTTTGAGAAAGCATGAATTTATATGCATTATAAACCACCTCAGTAATTTTGTGGATGTTTGTCATAATCTATTTAATTCAAGTACTACTGTGATGTTAGAGCAAAGTCAACCCATTATATAAATGTATAGTCACAAAACTAGCTACTAAAGCAACTCAGTAGTTGGTAGGAACTCAAGCAGTGTGAAATTACACATCTTACTCCTATTTTCAGTAGCATCTGCTGGCTTTGCTAACCAGAACATGAACACATCACTAAATATAAAAGCCTTTCATTATCCTAGTCAGGTCTTAAAATTCCAGGCTCCCAGCCTTCTAGTGGTAAAAATAAATTCATTCTCAGCATCCCTAGATTCAATTCTACACCCAGTGATCTCTGGCTAGTACAGTGATGTTTCCCTGAATCTCTCTATGGGGGGATGAGAGGTAAGATTTTTTCGATCTCCTTTGGAAAAATCATGAGAAGTAGCAGAGGTAATCAAAAATAATCATCTTATGCTCCCACGCTCCCAATTCCTCAAAGGGCAAAGCCTCCTACGATGGGTCTTCAAAATACTACATAGTCTCAACAGCTATGAAAAATAAGAAAACACTTTAGCTTAAAAAAGGACCTTGTCACAATCTGCACCAATACAGATCGGTGACCAACTTCACATATTCACAAGATCCTTCATTTTCTCTTTCCCATTCACCTAGGGAGGGCCATAAAAAGTTTCTAAATACCCAATGTACCTTCTTCCTAATTTCACATCTTCAAACTGGTTGATTTTATCATTATTCATCATCTCACTCATAAACTAATACCTGAAATAAAAAATCCTTTCCTTGGTTGGGAAATAAAAATTGCAAAGTTTCTCCCTGGAGTTCTAGCTCAATCCTGATGTTGGGACTTCCGGGAAGGAATGCAAACATGGTATCAGTTGGAAAACCTCTCTAAATACTGATGTATCTCCTTGCAGACTAAGTATGGGTATTACTGAGTAAGTACTGACTCTTCCCTTACTAAGGGTAGATTCTGAATTAAAACAAGGCCTTAATCCCTTCGCAAAGTGTGGTTCAAGGACCAACAGCATTTTAACCAACTGGGAGTTTGTTAAAAAGACAGTATACAGGGCTCTACTCTCCAACCAACTAAATCAGAATCTTCGTTTTACTGATATCTGTATGTAGATCTCCCTACATCACAAAATCTCAGAACTGGTGGAAAATCTAAAATCCTATCACACACAAAGAGGGATGAACCCTGGATAACAATTATACCTGATAATGACTATAGTCTCCTTCATAAATTCTTCAGTTCTTTTAACAATAGGTCCTCATTACAAGAACTTCTCATAAGATTATAAACTGCTGGTCTTGAAATGCACCAAAGCTTATTATAGCTGCTGTTGTTCTTGTTAGGCTAAGCCAATAATATAACCAAGTTCTTACCTAATCTGAGCTCTCCAAAGTTCCCACACCCTATCTTCTTGCCAACCCTGAAGTTGGGTCCCACCATAAGAACCCCAGAGGATGTTGAGGAGCCAGATGGTCGGGAACAGTGTCCACTCCTTTGTGCCATGGGTTTAGTTGTCCGTTGTCTTTCATCCTTTTCCCTACTAGGATGGTCCATGATCCTACACGACAGAGTCTCTGCACAGGTATCCTTAATTTGTATACCTCTCTTCAATACAAAAGTACGTCCAAATCAACTGGAGTTAGAGTAAGGTAAGGAGTTCTTTTGGCACCATGTTTATGTTTCTAATTTATCTCCAGGAGATGAAAAACCATTGATTAGTTCTGGTAGGACACGTAGTCTGTAGGTCTCAAGCATAGGAGGATATTGTGTAACCTAGGTAAAAAATCAAGAAAGCATACAGTTAAAAATTATATTTTAAAACAAATTAAGAGTTACCACTAATCAGAATGGACTCTATCCAAAACTGAGCAAAGTGGACAGCTTCCTGAAATGGATTTTGGTTTTACATCCTCCAACAGTTTAGCCATCTGGACTAGTAATTCATCTGGTAACATAGGCTCAGTAGGAGACAGACCAGGGCAGCTAATGGAACACAGAACCCTTTAACATAAAATGCTTTCTTCTAGTGTCATACATATGACTCAAAAGAAAGCTATTTGTTGGCTTTTTCATCACTGGCTAACAAAGATGTGGTGGGGTTCAGCCAAGTTAAATAAACTGAGGGCAATTAAAAGCTCTTCCCCTTAATTTGGACAGAACCTATCAGAAATAAGCTACTCACTACTCACTGTCCCCCTCCGCCATCCCCACCATTTATCAAGCACTGACAGCAATCACGAAATCCAAAACAAGTTACGGATTGACACAGACTACTTCTATGAAGGCCTTACCAAAACCCTAGTGGTACAAAGTAGTACTAGACTAAAGGTTGGGAAAGCTCAACTTTTGGTCTAGTTTTCATTGTGGGCTGAGTACACAATGACAGAGTGCCTGAAGCAGGTCCTTTGCACAACCCCAAAGTGAGAATAAATCTGAAGAACAAAAAATCTTAAACAAAACTCATCCCTACCAGAATTCTCCAGTTTCTCAACTTAGGACTAAGCCCAAGACAAAGTTTACAATGAGATAATTTTGATGCTATTTTTGATAATCTAGGTGAGTATCCTTAACAAAAAAATATTCTGTTACCAGCAATCACAGACTAAACACATACTTTTGTTTCACTTTCACTGAAGATGTCCCTTAAAATTTTAAGGAAGAAGAGAATTAGAACTGCTTGGTTATTATTGCATGTATACAAGAAAGCAAATATGTCTAGACTGTAAGCTTCTTACGTATACCTTTAATTCCCTAGTACAGGAACAGGCACATACGTGTGAGCTGAATGTACAAATGGGCACATAATCCAAGAACATACTCTGTTTACTTCATTATAGTAGTTAACTATTTTCATCTTTTCTGTCTGCTTTCTTTGCATTATTAAAACAGCATAATGACTTTAGGCTTCCGTAAATCTAATCATCATTAAAATATATTTCCCTGTGGGCTTCCCTGGTGGCGCAGTAGTTAAGAATCTGCCTGCCAATGCAGAGGACACGGGTTCAAGCCCTGGTCTGGGAAGATCCCACATGCCGCGGAGCAACTAAGCCCGTGAGCCACAACTACTGAGCCTGCGCTTCTGGAGCCTGTGCTCCATAACAGGAGAGGCCGTGACACTGAGAGGCCCGCGCACCGTGATGAAGAGTGGCCTCCGCTCGCCGCAACTGGAGAAAGCCCTCGCACAGAAACAAAGACCCAACACAGCCAAAAATAAATAAATACATTTATTTAAAAATAAAAAAATTAAAAAAAATAAAATACATTTCCCTGAGTTTAGGAAATTGTACATCTACATTCAAAATGTATATTCTGTTAAAGTAAAAACTCAAGGTGGTAAGAATAGGTCAGTAATTCCTGGATTTACTACATGAACAACATTATGAATTTATATTTCTCCTCACTCTTTCTGTTATTATAATTTCATCTAATATCCTTCAATTATCTTTGTTGTCTACCCAAAGTCCCTCAAACAATATGAGTAAAGAAAGAGAAGTAGGGAATTCTCTGGCTGTCCAGTGGTTGGGACTCCACGCTTTCACTGCCAAGGGTGCGGGTTCAATCCCTGGTCAGGGAACTAAGATCCCACAATACACGCAGTGCACACCCCCCCTTCAAAAAAAAAAGAGAGAGAAATGAAATTTAAGATGTTTTATTTAGATAGTCCATCTTAACAGGTGGTCGTGTGTCTATAGATGATAAACCGTCAGGCTATACTTTCTTCCTTTATATCATACATTTTTTTGAGAACAGGTAAAGGGTGTCTTAGCCTATCCAGACAATTTTGAGCATTGAACTAACTCCTAAAGTTTCATCAGTTATCACTAGTATAATAGTCTTATTTGTAAGATTTGAAAAACTGTACTACCTTGTCTATTGCTCTTCATATTTTTCATTGTGCTCACTTCTTTCCTAACAAAAGGAAATTATTTTTATAATGTTTGTCATTAGCTTTCTCCATTGCACTTAGACTCATGTAACATTAGGTTCAGTAATCACTCACAGCCCTCATATCCAAGTATACTTGCATGTATGTATTCAAAAAACATACAGTAATACTTGCCAGGTTAGAAAACTGCAGAAAGCCAACAACCGTATTCAGCTGGGAAAAGGATGTTTCTTTTTTTTAAACATCTGCTTGTAGATTAGAACAATCATTTTACCTCCCACAAACATGGCAAACACACTTATCAATGCTGTAATCTATTCATGAGACATTAGCACAATTTAACCTGTAACTATGAAAGATGAAAAATATTCAAAACTACTTTATGTGGCACCTCTCATTAGAGAAATCAAATTGAATGATTAAATTTTTAAAAATCCTATTTCTTTTTCACCACTCGCTGTTCAAAACTATTTCCTACTTCCCAATTACAAACTCTTTAGCTTGTCACTTGAGTCCCTTCAATATCAACTCCCTATATAAATTCATGTATTAAAGCTACTACATAAAGCAAAGGAACATCCACCCTTAGCTCTTATACCTAAAATGGTCTCTTAACTCTTCTGTCTTAAGGCCTGACTCATATCTTACATCCTTTGTGAAACCTTTTATAACCAATTCATCATTAATGCTTGGAGCACCACTGTCTATACTACCATTTGCTACCTACCATATATCAGATTATATTGATATGTATTCTAATATTCAATTTGATTATAAGCCCTTGAAGTTAGGGATCTTGTCACATCTCTTTTAGTTTCTTGCATATAATTGGTACTTAATAAGTCCTGAGTAATAATTATGATCTTGAATAATAGAAGACAGATTCCTAGCAACATAACCTAATATTTATACAAAATAATATGTAAAAGTAAGGAGAACCCTAATTAACCCTAAGAACTCCTAGAATTCATCTAGCAAGAAGCTGGTATTATTGCATTTAAATTCATTAGTGTTAAGACATAGGCTACTTAGAATTTCCATTTCACAAGGATATTAAATGGTTTATTTACAGTTACTAGCAAATAACATATGAAAAAGTTAGCTCAAGAACCAGGTGAAATGGAACACCCAAGGTAACAATTATGTTATACTTTAACCTTATTTTTAAAAAAATGGCTTCTAAGGACAGCAGTAAAAGATAAACTATATGTTTATATTTTTTCTCCTCTTTTTTTTTAACAGTAGAAGGAGAAAGGAGAGAAATTATATAAATGCAGTAAGTAGATGTTTGTTTTTCTGGGGAATAAACTATTCAGCAATCACTTAGATCTCATTAAACATGTTAATGTTACAATGCATATGTATTTGAATTTTTAGAGTCATACCAGCAAGTTTCTTAAAAAGCCTAATTCTAGTAGTTTCTACCACTCTAGGCATGCCTGAATTAGAGAAAAGGTATTTTTAAAATATGACAGGGGGCTTCCCTGGTGGCGCAGTGGTTGAGAGTCCGCCTGCCGATGCAGGGGACGCGGGTTCGTGCCCTGGTCCGGGAGGATCCCACATGCCGCGGAGCAGCTGGGCCCATGAGCCATGGTCGCTGGGCCTGCGTGTCCGGAGCCTGTGCTCCGCAGCGGGAGAGGCCACAACAGTGAGAGGCCCGCGTACCGCAAAAAAAAAAAAAAAAAAAAGTTTTTAAACAGGAAAATAATAGTTCATACTGTAGTTAATAACAAGAGAACAGAAAAAATGTTAGCACATAGAAAGAAACACAATTTAAAGGATTACATACCAAACTGCCAAATTTCTAAATCAAGATAAAATTACAAGTACTTACACTTTGTTAAAATTTGCAAAACATTATTACTTTTTATAATGAATATTTTACCTCTGTAAACAGCTTACAATAATAGAAAGTCTTCCTAACACTGTTTAAATTAAAAATGACACTTGCAAGGAAACAACCAAGAGTTTAATGAAACTGCTATCATAAAAACAAGTAGTCACTGATTAAAAGTAGACATTATGTCAAAATTAATCATACTTTATCTTTTATACCTTATAATACTGTGACTGAACTTCACTGGATTTAGAATGTTATAAAACTAGCAATCATATGTATGCTAAAGTTATACATACTGTAGTCCTAGAAAAATTAAAGTTCCATAGTGACGTGCTCCCCAATTGAGGTAATTTGATTATTTAAAAACCAAAACTTTTGTGCACAGCATACATGACACCTTACTGGGCACATCAGAGACTATTCTCGAGTCAAATAGAGGTCTGAACTCTCTGGTCACTTTACTCAAAGCCAAAATTAAATTCTCCCAACTCTGTAATTAGTCATCATGGACCTAGGATTTTATAACAATGTGGAGAATCAATATAATTGTTATACTAAGGATTAAGTGGACTCAATGTTTAGCTCCCTCAAATGAAAAATACTTGATCCTGCATTACCACCTCAACACCTTAATATATTTCAGTACCACAAGAAAGCCAAACACATAACCCTCATGAACAGGGAAGAATGTCTCATGTAGAGCAACTAAATGTAAGAATTGAACTAAGGGCTAAAAATCCTGAATTCTAATCACAGATAAGCCAGTGACCCAAGCCAACACTTACCTCAACTTTCTCAACCACAAATTGAAACTTATTCAAAAATAAGTCATAAAATATTTGGGGAAAAAAAAGAATTAAAACTTAAACTTTTTAACCAAGAAAAAGAATTCATTGTCCTAACCTGGTCTACACATAGACAAATCCCAATGGCCCTGAAATCAGTACTGGTAAGTGCGGCAACTTAGAAAAACTTAGAGTATGTTTAGCGACTGGAAGGTGGCATTTTAATACCTTAAGTTTAATCATAGCTGAGCGTATAAAGAGG